GAGCTGTTCTGTATTCATGATCAGCCTTGAGTGCAATGCTAAGAAAATTCCACTGGTGGTCACCACAAGCATGTTTTATGGATGGAAGGAAACAGACTGTTTCCTGAGTTTTGCATGCTTTGTTTAAAATATAGAATGCTTGTTTGAAGATGGCTTTTCTTTGCCATTTGAATACTGGAACACAGAATGAAGTTTATTTTCTATCTTTGACACTGGGGCACAACATTTTCTCTAGGAACTATTACAAAGCTTTTGCTGTTGCCCTGTGCCTTCAAATAATTTCTGATTTATGCTGACCCTAAGGAGACCTTATCATGGCTCTCTCTCTTAGCCTCTGAGGAAGGCTATGGCAAACCCCCTCTGAAACCCCCAAGAAACCCCCAGGATAGGGTCTCCATAAGTGGGAAACGACTTGAAGCCATACAACAGCAAAGGAGACAACAGCAATGGCAAGTTCCCTCCCTCCCTCCCGAACCAACCTCTCTCCTCGTGGCTCTCGCTCTCCTCCCTCGCACACTCCCTTCACACTCTTCTATTTATATGGGGCTGGACATTCGCGCGCAGAGGGCAGAGAAAGAAGTGGAGGAGGCCACATGCTCGCTGGCTCACGCGCAACCCAGCCACCATTTTGTGTTCCCCCGTGGCAGAACACAAAATGGTGGCTGGAGACGTGCATGAGAAAGGCGGCGGCGGCAGCAGCAGCAGGAAGGTCCAGGGGCTGGTAACAAGGCCTCGACGGGCCGGGTTCGGCCCACGGGCCGTAGTTTGCCAACCCCTGCACTAGAAACAAAGCAAAGATGAGTAAGCCAACATTTCCTACCTACCCCCTGCTATGTTCCCAGTCAACTTCCCTATCCATCTATTTTGGAGTTGTTCTAAATCCACTTGCTGTTTTTGTTACACTGAAGCTAAAGCCATCAGTCATTCCAGAAACCCATTGTTCAGTCCCTGGGAAGACCATTAGGTCTTTTTTCATTACAAGACAGCACCTAGCACTCCTCAAGGCTAGGATCTCAGATATAAATATCATTTCCAAACCTAGCCTCCATTTGCAGATCTGCCTCCGTTTTGTGTTGAGGGAAGGTGTGCACTAGATAGAAAATGGTATGTGTGTGTGTGTTAGAATTCTTATGAGATTTATTTTAATTTTTTTTAATATCAGGAGGCCAAGGTATGTGTGTGGCAAGAGAGGGCCCTGGAAACAAGTGGGAATGTGGGAAGAGGAAAGGTTTGCAGGGGCATCCGCACTCCTGATGTCCTCTGGTGTGTGGGGGACCTGCTGGAGGGCTAGCAGTGGCCAAAAGGGTGCACTCAGCCCAGTCCTTTCTGCAGCAGCAGAAGTTTCCCCATGAGGAGGCCTTCACCACCATGGCAAGCTGGGAGGGCTCAACTGGGTGTCACCCCTCTTCTGGGGTGTCACCCGGTACAGGTCACATGCCCCGCACCCCTCTAGTGATGCCACTGGGTGGTTGTGGAAATGCTGGCAGGAATGAACAGGAATACAAAGAGCACCACGTGTGATGCTCTCCTAGAGAAGTTGTGGTGGTCTTCTGCACATGCGCTAGCATGTACTGTGAAGTTTTAAAAAAGTAGTACTGATTGAGCTCCATGTGGACTAGTGTAACACAAAACTGGATGATCACATGAGCACAACAAACATTGAACCAAATTAATCCCTTGGTTAGAATTTTTCAAAATTTGCCGATTTACTCATTTGAGATAGAAAGAACATGAGACTTGGTGGGGGTAAGAACACGGGAGAGGCTGAAACTGATAGATTTATCATTTTAAGCTGAGAGCTATGCATGTTAAATCCTTACAATTCTGCTGTAAATCCTGCTCAAGTCTATTTATGCTCAGTAATGTTTACTACCTCTTTTATTTTGTTAGAGGCTCCTCATCTTTAAAATCTATATAACAGGTGAGAGCAGGGATATAGCTTCAGGAAGGCCAAATTGAGGGTATTGTCCCCCAACAAACAAGTATTTTGTTCTCTAATAAAATGTTTCTTCAGTCCCGAAATGTCAAACACTGCACTATTTTAAAACATCAACTCAACATTTAAAAAAACATTTCATGCACAAACTTACCAGGAAAATACAGACACAGAAAATATAAGAATGTGTGAATGCTGAGTGTCTTATTTCCTGGAATGCTAGAAAATTGGGGACTGAAGGAATATTTCATTGGGGGACAGAATTTCTGTTTGTGGGACAGTCTGAGTCATTGTGATGTAGTGGTTTGAGCGTTGGACTATGACTCTGGAGAACAGGGTTCCAGTCCCTGCTTGGCCACAAAACCCACTGACTGACCCTGCACAAGTCACACTTTCTCAGACTCAGAGGGTGGCATAGCAACCCCCCTTGAAGTAATTTGCCAAGAAACCCCAATAATAGATTCACCATAGGGTTGCCATAAATTGGAAATGACTTGTAGGCACACAGCAACAGCAACCCCTCATTTTGCCATCTCTGTATGCACCATGGTCTTCTCCATGTTTACAATAACTATATTTTTCGAATATATCTGCTGCGCAGATGAGGGAGAATGCTGTTTCCATTCTTGTTGGAAGAATTTAGTAGTGTCTGCAACTGTCTTCATTTTGGGGATATCAAGAACTTGATGCTGCTTTTTTTAAAAAATAAAATAAAATGGAGGATAGTCAACCTGCCAGATTTTTAACATCCCTAATAACAAAAATGTATGCCCAACCTGCAGTTTATGAGTTGTCCAGTTTAGGATAAGGCAGTACACTGAGCCTGATTTTTCATCATTTTCCTCTTTTTTGTTTTATTCAGATAAGCCAGCCCCTATCATTGTTTGGTGGAAGGGAGTTTTGCAAAGAAAAAGAGAAAGAAAGGACAAAACTTGGCACATTTTGTGACACCTCCCCTCAGTCTGTGTGGGACTGGACTCCTCCCAGAGGCTGAATGAACTGGTGTGAAGCATCTCCGTACCAGCCAGCACATCAGTACGTCCAACTCCAATTCCTTTGGCTGCCAGCTCCGACAGAGACTTTATCACTTGTTGCCTTTCAGCCTCGAGGCTAACAATTCTCAGTTACCCCCTTCCCTCACACACACACACACACACATATATATATTATTTGCATCCTTTTTCCTTCAGTCTATCTGGCTTTCCCTCTTGAGAGAGAAACATGGTTGCATCCTGCTTGTATCTGACTGGATTTGCGGCTAGCTTTGTTGGCTGGATTGGCTTGATCGTAGCAACGGCTACCAATGACTGGGTCGTGACTTGCGGCTACACCATCACCACTTGCCGAAAAATGGACGAGCTGGGATCCAAGGGACTGTGGGCAGACTGTGTCATGGCAACTGGGCTGTATCACTGCAAGCCACTGGTGGACATCCTCATATTACCAGGTATTATGGGTTTCATTTAGCAACTCTGAGTATTATCCTGGTTTTGATCCAGCAACTCCAAAAGTGCTTTCTATACACGAGGGCATATTTAAGTCGATGGCAGAGCTTTTATTGTGGTTTGTAGTTTTTATAAGCATAGCAACTTTATAGAGTACAATAAAGAGAGTAGCAAGTCTCTGTCCCAAGGATCTTACAGTTTGTGTTTCGGAAAATAACAGAGGGGCTGGAGGGAGGAAGAAAGAAAGAGGGTAAAATAAGCACAGCAAAAGGGATATGAGCTTATTTAGTTACATGTATTCACAGCTCATATCAAACTGAAGGCATGATGCAGAAG